AGCAATCAATGAACCAGCATAACCATAACCCTACCCCAAGCAGAAATTTTAACCAGAAAAGGGAGAAGAGACAACGACTCCATGACGTCCTCCAGAGACTTTACCCGTTCTATCGGTTTTACACAGAAGATGCTCAGATATTGTGATGGTTATCAGTATGAAACTAAAAAATGGAAAAAAAAAAATCTACCCTAAACTTTGTGTTATAATTTTGAACATTGTTGCCTCTTACGGAATCTTGCTAGAACCAATGAGGCATAAGGTAGGTATAAAGTTATATCAGTCTATGAACCACTATCCCCTTTCCCTAAAAGTGATAGGGCTTGAAGTAAGTCATTTAATTCATATATATATATATATATATATATATATATATGCACACACACACACACACACACACAGATGCCGAAAGTATTATGACTGAGTTCTTGGCTTTCATCTTCATCAGTTTACTCTTAAATGTTCTTAGATGTATACTTTTTTCACACACGCTGACCCTTAACTTTCTGTATCAAGGCTCATTTGGATTGAAGCAAAATATGGTGTTAATCTTTAAGGGTACATCTACACAGCAACATTATTTGAAAATAACTGGCGTTATTTCAAAATAACTTGGTTTGCGTCTACACAGCAAGCAGTTATTTCAAAATAATGTCAAAACATTGTCAAACTGGAGGACTTCTTATTCCAACTCCTGTAACCCTCATTGTACGAGGAGTAAGGGAAGTTGGAGGAAGAGTGCTCTATTTCAAAATGAGTGCTGTGTAGATGCTCCTGATTTCAAAATAAGCCATTTTGAAATAAGATATGTAATTGACATAGCTCAATTTATGTAGTTTATTTCAAGTTAAGCCCTGCTGTGTAGACACACCCTAAAGTGCTGCAGGACTATTTGTTGTTTTTAAAAAAATTTCAATTACAGATTAACACAACTACTCCTCTGAAACTTTTGTCCTTTCCAAGTTGCTTTATAATGTGTCTGGGTTGCTCTTAGAAATCCAGCAAAATGCATTATAGGAAGCCAATAACTTCTAGCTGGCTGCACTGTTCATCTACTTTCTGGTGACGTACGATTTCAGGGGCAGCATCACAAAATTGTATCCGTGCGCCAAAACTTTCAGAAGAGTGTCATATTCTTTCCCTCTCCATTCAATGAGAGAATTAGTTACTGCTAAACTACAAGACTCTTGATTCCTTTGGTCACTAGGATTATGAAGTATCTCTGTTTCCTCTTGTACCTCTTTTCTGATTCATACAGACCCCAAAGGAAAGACTTTAATCAGAAACATGTGGAAAATTCCTTTTAAAACTACCACAAGGACAAAACTGATTAGGGTAAAAGGTTTCCTTTGAAACAAACGAGAATCAGCAATAGCTGTGTTCAGCTACTGTTTGGGGGTTGTTTCTCCACTTTCAATCATGCATTAGGTGAATGCATCAACCTCTGCCTCTTCAAATGCCACAGAACCTGAACAAACACTCTATCAGCTATATAGATGCCTGGAGCTGGAGTGGAGACAATGTTTATCCAAACTCTGGTCCTTCCAGACAACAGCAACAGAGGAACAAAGTCTCAGAATATCCTAAAGCATTTCCCGTAAAAGGGAACATTTCAGGATAGGAATTCTTTTCTGTAAACAAGCTCTGGAATTGAGGAGCTGGCTTGTTTTGTGTTCTCCCTAATGATGCTTTTCTATGTATGCTTGATGACATGGCAAGATACAGGCCTGTAAGCAGGAATTTTTGTGGGGGGGGGCAAGCTGTGGGAGAGGCTGATGGTTGCCCAACCCCCGTGGCCTTGCCCCACCCCCACTCCTGGGAAGAAAGGGGGAATCAGCCCCAGTTTTCCCCCCGCTGGCCAGAGGAAGGAGGCTGCTAGCACGCCGCCTCTGCTTTTCCCTGGCCGGCTGGAGCAAAAGGGAGGAAGGCTGGCAGTGTGCCACCTCTGCTTTCCCCCATCTGGCTGGAGCATAGAGGAGAGAGGCTTCTGCTGTGCACCACTTTTACCTTCCCCCCAACAGCCAGAGAACGGGTGAGTGAGGCTTCTGCAGTGTGCTGCTTCTATGCGCCCTTCGCACCCACCCTGCATACGGGTCTGAGCTAACACCAAGAGTGAGATCCTAGAGTATTATTCATCCTCTGGTTTTAGTGTTCCTGATCCACAGATCAAAAATGGTTTTCCCTGACCACTTAATTGCTAAATAATAAACTACATGATGGTAAACATGAGGCTCCAAACTATCTCCTAATTAATCTAAGTGTTTATCTGACAATAGCTTATTTAATGTCTTCAAATACAAGCAAGGAGTGGTAATAGTGGAACAATGGACATGTGCTATTTAAAGTTTGCACACTGTCCATAATTTGCAGCAACACCAGATGGTGCAGCATTAATATATAATAAGAAGTAGAAAAAACAACACAAAAAGAGTTCACCAAATGATGAATGGACATGACAAATACTCTACACCCATGGTCCCCAACACGGTGCCCGCGGGTGCCATGGCGCCCGCGGGGGCATTTCAATGCGCCCGCCAGGTGCTCGGGGCTGGCCTGGCCCCGGGCACATGGCACACGGGCGCTTGCGGGGGGAGCGCGTTTGACGGGGGGAGCGCCGGGCGCGTGGCACTCGGCGGGGGG